ACCTCAGCCAGAAATCCCCCGAGCTCCAGGTGTGCCAGGGCTGGGGGCACACTGCAGTGAGGGCAGGGATTGGCTGTACCTGGGCTGGGGCTTGGCCCTGGGGTTGTGGGGGTCAGGGCTTGGGGGGTCACCCTTGGACACCAGGGCAGGAACACAACCTGCACAAGAGTGGACGTTGTGCTGGTGCTGGGCTGGGTGGTGCTGCATCATGGTTGGCCCTGGTGGTCTCAGGGGGCTTTTCCCCCAGCACCCTTGAAGGAGGGGAGTGTGGATGGGATCCCTGGCCCCTCACCGTGCCCCCATCCCTGTGTCCCCAGGAGGAGTTTGGGTACAACGCAGAGACACAGAAGCTGCTGTGCAAGAACGGGGAGACGCTGCTGGGCGCCGTCAACTTCTTTGTGTCCAGCATCAACACGCTGGTCAACAAGACCATGGAAGACACGCTCATGACAGTGAAGCAGTACGAGACGGCCAGGTGGGCCGGGGCTCGGGGGCTGGGGGCTCCTGGGCCGGCCTGGGGGCAGGTCAGTGACGCTGGGGTGCCGTGCAGGCTGGAGTATGACGCGTACCGCACGGACCTGGAGGAGCTGAGCATGGGCCCGCGCGACGCCGGCGCCGTCAGCCGCCTGGACGCCGCCCAGAGCCAGTTCCAGAGCCACAAGGACAAGTACGAGAAGCTGCGGGCGGACGTGGCCATCAAGCTCAAGTTCTTGGAGGAGAACAAGGTGGGTGCAGGGTGGGGATGGGGGCGCAGGAGTGGGAGATGCAAGACAGGTGGGGCATGCAGAGATGGGGCACATGAGGAGGGGGACTTTGGGGCAGGGACAGGGGGGAAGTGCAGGGATAGGAGGCGCAGGGATGGGGTCCCTGCAGGGATTTGACAGCTACACTGGATTTGTCACGCAAGGACACGAATTGGGTGGAACAGGCAGTGCAGAGGGGGAGCGGTGGCACTCTGGGGATCTCAGAGGGCTTTCCAACCCCTTCTCTGTGCTGCTGGGGTGGGCTCAGGCCCCCCAGTCATGATCCCTCCCCCCCAGATCAAGGTGATGCACAAGCAACTGCTGCTGTTCCACAACGCCATCTCTGCGTACTTTGCTGGGAACCAGCAGCAGCTTGAGCAGACCCTCAAGCAGTTCAACATCAAGCTCAAGACCCCTGGCGCCGAGAAGCCCTCCTGGCTGGAGGAGCAGTGAGCCCCCGTGCCCCCCGGATAGGATGGAGGAGCACACATGGACCTCAGTTGTGGCCGGGGGCTCGTGGGGGCCACAGCCCAGGCCTGCTCTTGGATGGGGGGGACCCCGGGTGTGGGGAGCTGCCAGAGGGCTGGGTCCCCCCTCATCCCACAGCCCCTCCTCAGGGCAGGCTGCAGCAGCTCCTCGGCACAGACCCCACACAGCAGACAGCTGGAGCCCCCCTGCCCCTGACACTCCCAAGGGGGCTGGCTGGGCTGCTGCCCCCAGGCACCCCACTCACCCTGGGGTGAGCCAGGACCTTCCACTGTCCCCCCTGTGCCTCCCCGGGGCAGGATGAGGGTGCGCCCCTCCCAGGCCCACTGCCAGCTCCCCCCAGGCAGCCCCC